TTTGTCATTTATATATACGTTCATACATTATACAATTAAGTTGCATTTAGTTTAAATATACATTTACTTACTTTATTAAGTCATATTGCATATAGCTTCATGTATTCGTGATTGACAACACAATAATTTTCCACGGCATTGTTGGATTATTGATTTTGTAGTTTGATTCATGATGTTTGATGATGAGCTTTAATTCTTTGTATCTTTGTTTAATAAGTAACATTATTTATAGTAATGTTGGTGGTCGGTAGTCGATATTTTTATTTTTTTATATCACATCTTGATTTCTTTTTTGCTATGTAGATTTTAATAATTTGGTCACTATGATATATTTTTCTATGTTTTTATGATACTTTTTTCTTTGCATTCTGATATGTTTTCGATATTATTTATCGGTCATTTATTCGTTCTTTCATTTTTTCTTCTCATAGTTGGATTTGACGTTGTCTCGACTAATCAAGACTATGTTTATTTGTTATCATTCTAATACTTTGAACTCTCAAATTAAATTTGGATACATAATTGCATTCGTGAATAGTTTTCTCACGTCACTCGACTCTGATTTGTTGTTTGTCAGTGGTTTTTCAGTAGTTTGATCCATTTTGTGATTCAATTATTAATGCAGTCAGATCTATTTGTAGCAATTTTTTGTTCGAGTTTTTTGATTAAATTTTTAAAATTTTCATTATACGGTCATTGAATCTCAAGTGGCTAGTTTCTTATGTCAATGATTATAAAAAAATATCATAATTATGTGTTTAGTTTACGGTGATTTAACCTTCATTTTAATAAAATTAACGGTTCATATAAAAATAATTTTACTGTTATTTGCTCTGTTTCTATAAAAAAATGTTTTTTTCTAGTTCTAAAAAATATGATTTATTTTATTTTATCTTTTGTCTCTAATAATTTAAAATATTGAAATAATATAAGAAAGCTAATAAGTATATTCATTTTGATAAATAAAATCTAAAAACGATACCACAAATATGGAAGTAAACAAGAGAGGAATCCGTTAAATCTTTAACTTTGAAATTTCCATATCTAAATGAAATAAATAAACAAAATTAACATTCAATTAATTGCCATAATCGCTTTGAGATTATCTTTCTTGTTTAATCTTCAAAGATGATTGGATAAGGTTTCGTCCACTTTCCCGAGAAAATAAGGAAAGGGTAAATTATAAATTTATCCACTAATTTTATACTATTTTTAGTTTACCCATTGTACTTTTAATATTTTTAATTTACTCACTAATTTTTTTAATTATTCATGTTTTGGTCACTATAAATTATTTTATTATTAGTTTAGTATAATATTTTATTTTTTATTATTTAATATAAAATATAAAATTAAACTCAACTATTCACCTTCCACTGTTCACCATCATTAGATACCATTGTCGACAGTCGTAGATGGTAATCGTTCGATCCTAGATTTCATTGACAACTTCATCTCAACCCCATGAGTCTGAATTCGACTTCCGTTTTGTCAAAACATGCTCCGAAGTTCACGAATAAAAATCAAAAGTGAGGAAACAAAAATGTTTCATTTGAGATTTGCAGATTTTGAATTTTTTCCAATAAAACAACCATTAAATTTTAACTCAACTTGTCAAAACGATTCTTACAGTACAATTTGGGATCAAACAACCGTGAAGACGACGACAACGACGATGATTATTTTAAATGTTTTTAAAATTGATAATAATAAAATATTATTTATTATTTATTTTAAATTATTTTTATATTTAATAATATTTTAAAAAAAATTATGTCATATAAAAATAATAATAAAGAATAATAAAAAATATTTAATGTATAAAGTTCAATGAGTATATTAAAAATTGAAAGTACAGTAATGAACAGAGAGAGATTAAAATTAAATAGTAAAGTTGTAATTTACTCATAAGGAAATAATTTACTAGAAAAAAGAGATAACGACCATCTCAATCTGTATATATTAAGTTATCCCTCTGTTCAATCTCTGCATCTTAGTTGACCGGCGACCAAGAAGAAAAAAATGTCGAAAGAAACTTACGTCGCCTCAATCGACCAAGGCACCACCAGTACACGGTTTATCATCTATGACAAATCTGCTCGAGTCATTGGTTCCCACCAGATCGAGTTCACTCAGTTCTACCCTGAGGCCGGGTACTCCTTTCAAAACTCAGTTCCTCAATCAAATTTCCATGTTGGGCTTCTGTTTCATTTCACAAATATGAAATTTTTTTGACGTGTTTATTTGATTTTTTTTTTGGGGGGGGATTTTGTGGGGATGTTAGATGGGTGGAGCATGACCCAATGGAGATATTGGAGAGCGTGAGATCGTGCATGACAAAGGCACTAGACAAGGCTACTGCTGATGGACTCAATGTTGAAAGTGGATTGAAAGCAATTGGATTGACCAATCAAAGAGAAACAACTGTTGTCTGGAGCAAATCTACTGGTTGTCCTCTCTATAACGCCATCGTTTGGATGGATGCTCGTACCAGCTCTATTTGTAGGTAATCCTTATCGGTTATCAATTTCCTTTTTTATTTTTATTTGCTGGTTGGTTGTTTGATGTTGCTCAGTTTTTGTTTGATTGTTTTTTGAATTGGGTGTTAAAGTTTTTTATTATTGAAAAGTTTCAATTATGAACAAGAAATGTTTTCAAAACTTGGAATTGGTTTGATTTATATTCCCTTGGTTTTTGTAATTATGAATTCCTTTTAGTTTTCTGTCAATAGCCTAGTTTGAGTGCTATGTTACTTGGACACATGAATGATGAATGTGTGTATGTGTTTGACTTAGGTATGCTCCAATTTCTTCCAATATTTTAATGTATTTGGAGACTTATTGTAGGATCATATCATATACTCGTGTTCATAAATACTCGTGTTCATAAATGTGTTAGATACGATTGTCAGATAAATGAATATTTTTGGATTTTCATTTGCTGTTCAGTAATGACAGTGTGAATTCTATGTACTTGATGTTTGAGGTGATTCGTCATATTAGGAAATTGGAGAAAGATCTACCAGGAGGGAGAACACATTTTGTGGAATCATGTGGTTTGCCTTTAAGCACTTATTTTAGTGCAGTGAAGCTGCTATGGTTGATGGAGAACATCGATGAGGTTAAAGTTGCTATTAAAAAAGGGGATGCCTTGTTTGGAACTATAGACACGTGGTAATATGGAACTTAACTGGCGGGGTAAATGGTGGATTACATGTCACTGATCTCTCTAATGCATCGCGGACTATGCTCATGAATCTCAAAACCCTTGATTGGGATGAAACCACATTGGAAACTCTTGGAATAGCAGCTGAAATTCTGCCAAAAATTGTAAGTAATGCCGAGGTCATTGGTAAAATCAGCAAAGGGTGGCCTGTTCTTGGTGTTCCTATTGCAGGATGTCTCGGTGATCAACATGCTGCCATGGTTGGTCAAGCTTGCCTAAAGGGTGAGGCCAAAAGCACTTATGGAACTGGTGCCTTTATCATGCTCAACACAGGTACTGAGCCTGTTAAGTCAAATCATGGGCTACTAACCACGCTTGCATTCAAGCTTGGTCCAGAATCACCGACCAACTATGCTTTAGAGGGCTCTATTGCGATTGCTGGAGCTGCGGTTCAGTGGTTAAGAGACAATCTTGGAATAATTTCAACTGCGAGTGAGATTGAAACCTTGGCATCAGAGGTTGATTCCACAGGTGGGGTTTACTTTGTTCCTGCTTTTAATGGATTGTTCGCTCCATGGTGGCGAGATGATGCACGTGGTGTTTGCATTGGAATCACACGGTTTACAAGCAAGGCTCACATTGCTCGTGCAGTGCTTGAAAGCATGTGTTTTCAAGTGAAAGATGTATTGGATTCAATGCACAAAGATGCAGGTGAGAAAGGTGAGGTTAAGAATGAAAAGGGAGAGTTCTTGCTCAGGGTGGATGGTGGTGCTACTGTTAACAACCTCTTGATGCAAATTCAGGTTAGGGCTCTATTCTCTACCGTTTTTTTTTTTTTTTTTTGCTTTCTGTTATTAGCTTGTTGCTGTCAATGCATAGAAGCACGTGTCTGATACTTATGTAAACTTTTTCCATGTATTCTAATGGTGCTTCAAGTATCATATATCTATATCCTTATCGATAAATGCTTCAGACATTTGTATTTTATGAAAAATGGAAGAGTATCGTTTTACAATCAAGAAAGTTTTTCTTAGAATCTCAGCTGCTTTTGTGTGTGTGTAAAATCAAAGAGATTGTCTAAATCACTCGTTCATTCTTTTCTGATAATATGATTTTATGTTTTAATCGGGGTCGATCACAGGCAGACTTGTTGGGAAGCCCCGTGGTGAGACCAGCTGACATAGAAACAACTGCTCTTGGAGCTGCATATGCTGCTGGAATAGCCGTAGGTGTATGGAAAGAAGATGAGCTTTTTGCTTCCGGGCACAAGCTCAATACCTCAACCACATTCTCCCCAAAATTATGCGAAGAACGGAGGAAGAAGAAGGTGGATTCCTGGTGCAAAGCTGTCGAAAGAACATTCGGTTTGGCCGATCTTGAAAGTTGATACAACTGTCAATTCTATCTCAACTTCCTGGTGATAGTCTTATTTTCTGTAGATTGTTTTTTTCATTTAAAGACAAAAAAGTATGGTTCTAAACTGCATAAATTGTAATAAAATGGTTAATGTAATACTCTTTAAGTCATTGCTTTGCTTCAATGGCAGTTATATTTTACCATCCAAATCCAATCCATAGAATCCTGTCAACTAGACTAAAATTCAGCACTGAAACACACTTCCACCCTTGGAAATGGTCAAAATAATTATCATTCAGATGTTACAAATGCCAGAAAAACATGGATCTGCAGGAGCACTGGAAATGGTTTGAAAAGAGCTGCGCTAATTACTGGAAAAACATTAAACGAGTTGCATATACATCAATAGATCTGTTATTAAAGGAAAGAAATGCATAAAAAAATTGGAGCTTAATAAGAAACACATCTAGAAAATTATGTGAATCAAAAGTAAGTTTGATTCACTTAACTAAGAAATGTCAATTCCATTAGCAGCAAATAAGAATCCTATAAAACATCCAAGTACATATGTGGGGGGAATTATACTGACATTGGAACATCACTAAGAGACCTATCATATCCAGTAAAAGAGATTCCTGAATAAAATCTGCAATTTAGAATTCCATCCTCACAATTGCATCCAACTCTCTGATACTCCTCCATACTGGAGCCAATCCTTTGAGCAGATGAGAGCTTCGAGTGTCACCGGTCGTAATGAACTGTTGTAATTATTTATCTTTTTCCTCTCTGTGTCGAAAATGGAATCAGGACTAGCGGTAGAAAATGGAATTGATAAAATGTCGGAAGCCATCCTCCGGAGAATAGGATACTTTGTCTTGTTTAGTTTCCACCAGCTCAAAATATTGGAATCTTGTTCCTGAGGCAAAAGAGACTCTTCGAGATATTGATCTAATTCTGATTTCGTTTTCTGGCTACTGAGCTCAAAATCTGAAAGTCCATCTCCAATAGTAATAAGAGGATCTTGAGAAGGTACTTCCTGGGACGCTACTTCCGGATGGGGTGTTTCATGACAAGCTACTTGTTCAGATGGGCCCTCTTTAAGGTATCCTTCTTCGGGTGGTCCTTGAAGGTATCCTTCTTCGTGGTGTTCAATTTCAGGGATGATGCTCCCATTCTCTTCACAAATACTGCTTTCATTCCGTTCTTCCACAAATGTTTTAGGTGGATGAACTTCTTGTGCGGTAGGTGGATGAACTTCTTGTGCGGTAAATTCAAGGTAGAGCTCATGAATCCCATCATCAACAATCTTAATCCAAATTCCAGCATCATCACCATATATCCTAGAGAAGCTAAACTCAACAAGTTTCATTTGGAACCTTGGATCCATTACCACAGCAATTGCCAAAACTAAGAAGCAGTCACTCCAATATCTATCAAACTTCTCCTTCAAAGGCTTGGTCAAGGTGCTGACAAATGGGTCGTTCTCATTGAGGCATGCGTCAACTCTAATTGAACTTTTGATATTTCATGATAGAATGCACTGGCAGTCGGGTATGTTTGGGCGGTTAAAATACTGACAGCATCATAGAAAGCTTCAGGTATGTGCAGAGAATTCTATTTGCTTCCAATCATCCATTGATGGGGCTATGTTATAATCGGGAATGACAGTCTCCAAGCAAAGAAATAACTGCTTTAGTTCGCAGGCAACCAACAACATGTCATATGTAGTGTTCCATTTTGTTTGGTCATCGATGAATATGTCTTTCAAGCTAGAGTCTTTAAGTTGTTCGTTTAGATGGAAAAGTGTCTCTTCGTATCTGAAGTTTTCCCCACATACCCATAGTGCCTCTTGTGCAAGAAGACTTATAACTCGAGCAAAGCAATTTCCAATCAATAACTGTCCATGAAGCACATAAGGATTCCTAACAGAAAACAGAGCTCTTAGGCTTTCATTTATGCTCTCGTCTGAGTAGGACTGATCAAGTGTAAGGGTAAATAGCCTGTCCTCCAAATGCCAATCAGATAGACAAGAAATGACAGCTTGCTGTAAGGCACCGTCTGAATCAAGAGAAGGTACCGTGACTACATTAAGCAGGCAGCGATTCAAATTCCATTCACTATCCATGAATTGTCCTCTTAGAAAAATATAGCCCACAGTTTGATTTGAAATCCACAAATCTAAAGTAAGCTGACCCGGCCCGGAATTTCATTGATAAAATTGAGAAGGATCTGCTTCTCTTTCAAGCACATAACGACACAATCTCGAATAGATTTGAAACCCATCATATTGAACTGGGGTTGGAGAGTCCACACAAAATCAATAAAACCAGAGTGTTCTACAATGTGGAAGGGATACTCATGCAGGATGATCATCTTGGCTATCTCATGGTTGCAGTTTTCCTGGTTAAAAGGGATGCTTGCAGTTCTATGAGTTAGTCGTCGTTTTTTCTCATTTCATCAATGGCATTACCAGTTTTAGGGTCTGGTGTCTGTTGATTTCTCTGACGACTCACGGGGCAGATACCCAACTCGATGTGTCTTTTGAGGTGGCTAGTTCCAGCTACCTTTGTACCAGTAATGTAAGCAAATGATCTCTTGCACTGATTACATAAGGCCCTGATAGATCCATCACCGACAATCTCCTCAGTAAAATAATCCCAGACAATAGACTTCTTCCTCTTCTGTTTATTCGGCTGTACTTCGGAACTAAGTGACTCACTGTTCTCAGTAGGAGTAATAGGTGTATAAGGCATGGAAACAGGAACAATTGCAGTCTCCATCTAAATTTACAGTCCTGCAATAAGAAGATAGCTTATTACAGATTCTCATTCAGATTATGTTAAAAAAAACATCAATGGAAAAAACACAAGGCAGACCACATGAAGACAACAATTAGTAGTAGCCAGATAAGATTGATACAAAGATTTGATATTCACATTTGAGTAAAAAATTATTGAATAAAGACGGTTCCCTAAAGAAGGTTCCCTAGAGACTATTCATATTTACAAAATAACAATCCAGAAGCTCAAATGATCAAGAAATGGATCCCAAAATTTAATAAAAACACATTACAAAATAAACAGAAAGTAACGATTAGTCTCTCAAATACAAACAAGACCTAGAAAAAGGCGAACAACTGATCGAAAAATGCACAATAGCCAGGGAAGAAGAAAAGCAACAATAAAAGAAGTAGGAAGGAAAAGGTTTCTGAGCAGAACCCATTAAAGATAGGAACCGAATATAATTCCCAAATAAAACCCATAGCCATAAACTCCAAAACAAGGTTTCGAAACACAAAACTACAATGAAATTAACTGCTTATTTATTTTACCTGAATAATTTGATTTTCGGGTAACAGAGGGAAACGTCAAGGAAGGTTAATTGGGCTGGAACAGAGGCGAAAAGAAGTTCAGAGCTTTGTTTTTGTTCGGTGAAAGAGAGAGAGATATATAGAGAAAGAAATCAAAACCCTAAATTGGAATTGGACCCATGAATTAAATACACATCAACCTTTATACAAGGCATAGGAGAAAAAGTCTTAATATGGATTTGGACTCTCTCAAAGCTCCAATTTTTAGGCGGATCTACCGTAGTCTTCTTGGACTCTACTCTCTTCATCGTGTACTTCAGTTAACAGTGGAAGTAAAGAATTGGTTTCATGTAATCAATTTTCATTTATAATTTACAGCAAACCCCAGTTTCAATTCATGGGTTTCAAAACTAATTCTAATTTTTTTTTTCAAGAATCTCATTTTTTTAATACAACAAGTTTAATCTATATATATTTTTTTCTTGATTGAAATGGAGAAACATGAGAGTTTAAAGCCACTTTTTTCTGTTTGTTTTAATAAGCTATTTTAAAAATATAGTTAAATACTCTTTTAATTTTAATTCTTAACTATTATTACACATATCATCATATTAGTGATGTATATAATTTAAAATTAACATATGTTTGTCCAATAATGTGAATATTTCGAGTCGAGTGAAAACATTCGAGTTAGTCGAGTTTACGAGTATCATCTTATTATTTAGATTTTATTAAAAAAATTTGAATCAATTTGAGTCGAGTCAAATATATGTGTTCTAGTTTGTGTTTAACATTAAATGTAATTATTTATAATATTATTTGTTTGGTGGTAAAAAAAATTGTTGTTATTCATTGAAGTCTTGAATTCGAACACCATGAATTACAGTGATATAAATGTTCAATGTCAAATGATTTAAGAGTTATCTTTGAATAAATAATATATTGTACTTGTCCCATATTAATTTTTAAAAAAACTCTTTAATCATATATATATCATATTCTTTTTTTATACGTCTAAGTATGATTTATAATGTTATCCAATAAATCAAATATCAATATAACATTTAAAATTAGATAATATATTTGTAATATTATTTTTTAAAGAAGTAATTTTGAAGACAAAGTATTGACAAGAATATTAAATGAGGCAAGAAATTGACGAAAATAAATAAAATGCAAAGAGTTAAAGTCAAAGGCTCAAATTAAATAAAATATAAAGTTATACTTAGATTAAATTGAAATAAAAATAAAAACGAGTAATTTGAGTTACACATATATTCTATAGTGATCGAGAATCATATAGTTTCAATTTGATAGAAAAATAGACTTAAAACAAATATAAAATTAAAAAAATAAGGGATCAAATGATAAAACAATCAAATTAATTAGCAAAAGACTAGAACAAAATCGTTTTAATTTTCAGTTGTTTAAATATTATAATTTGAAACTCAACTTGAATTTAAAATATGAGCAGTGGTCCACGTGAGTATATATTTCAAAATTAACGGACATTTGTCTTAAGGATTGAAATGTGTAATAGTTGGAAAAATTAGGGGCTTGTTTCGCAAAAAAGAAAAAATGAGAGGCCAGTTTGTCCAAAGTTACCATGTTTTGAGGCAATTGCGTCTTAAGCTTTTATTTTACTGCTTTTGAACATTATTCGGTAATTTTAAAGATTTTTATAAATACTTTTTTTGAAAAACAAATTTTAATTTAATAATGAAAAATAACTATAGATCCAATAGAATGATGTATTTAACATGTATAATTCCTTTTTTACAATAGATAGGTAGAATATATTTGACTTTATAACATATCATTATATTCAAATATCTCAAATGAGTCGATTAACTCATAGATCTATGTTCATACATATATATATAGTTTAAAATGTATTTAATATCCGATCCAGATTAATCGATCAATAGATCAGTTACCGATAATTATAAATTTTGTTTTGGCTAAAACCATAAGTCCTTAACCTATAAATACATACTAATGTGACACACTTGTGTAGAGTAAGGCTCATTCTTCATCTCTTTTTGTACCTTATAGTGAAGAAAAACTTAATTTTTTTTGATTGATTCTTCGTTCAAGCTATTCTTTTCTGTATTGAGATTAATTGTCCATTACATTTACATTAATTAATTTTTTTGATTTATTCTTAGATGATCATTGAATTATTATACATCATCAATGTATCAACAATAACATTTTATTGTTGGAGAGAGGATTCAAGAGATACAGAAAGCGAAGAGTGAGTTTCCTGCAGTAAAGTTGGGATTGAAGAATCCAAAACTAACCTTGTATCCATGGCCAATGAAAATGCACCCATTGCTAACTGACATCCCACCATAAACAGTTGCTCCTGTGTTATATGACCATAAAATTTCCCCACTCTTGGCATCCATTGCATAAACTGGTCCTTCTTTGTAGGTCGAACCACCGAATAGGACCCCATTAGCCACTGTCACAGGCCCACTGGCTGTACCATTGTTAGGGTCGCCTGTTGACCAGAGGATTTGGCCGTTTTTTGCATCCATTGTCACCCACCCTCCGGCGGTGGTGTTCCTTGTAGATTGTTTTAGGGTGAAGTTTTTTCGATCGGAGTTGGCTATGTTTGTGTAAACCCTCTTTTCATCTGTGGCGGAACCCCATGTTCCGCCTCCGGTGAGACCACCTGGCCCTGCTTCCATACCAATTAATAATCGTTATTAATGATCAAAACAAATTGAAATTTAGAACCGAAAATCTTTGTTATACCCCGAATATAGTTTCTAGAAGTAGTATTTCTGCCCATGATTTATTCAGAGTCTTATTCTCATTGGATACTAGTTTAAGATGGACAAAGTATAATTAACAATAAAAAATGAGGTAAAATATAGCTAACAATCGAAAGTAAGGAGTAAAATCAAAATAAACTAAAATTTGAAGGCTTATATAAATATTTATTCCTATAACTTCGTCCCCGTAGGTGTTTATACCCAACGAAAGGCTGAAAGGGAGATTCTCTTTCTTTTTGTCTGCTCTCTCACTTATATTGTTCATCTTTTTCTACCACCATTCTTTCGGCTTACGAACGAGTCTTTACTAATTATGTTTCTTCACCCGAATTAAAAAAGATGAATAATTAATTACCAACAAGATAAACTTGTTTTCATCGACAAACTAGAGATAAAGAAAGAATAAGTTACCGTAGACCATATAATATTGCCATCATCACGATCCAAAGCCCATACAAATCCACTTTTCTGGACCGCAACAACGACGTCTCTCCAGTTCCATTCACGTCTATGGTTAGCATCATCGGTGCTTCGCCAAAATCAGCATCAGGGTTTGGTCCCGGAGGACAGTCAGGAACTGAAAGATTATTACAGGCAAAAAACCAAACATCATAGCCCCCAAGCTGATGGAACCACTTGATGTTTCCAGTGTCCATATCAAGGGCCAGGAATGAATCTGAATGATTATCAGGCTCGATGCATTCATCCGAATGCGTAGGAGGAACTTGGGTTTGATTGTTTTGTCTCTCTTGGCAATCGGTTATGTTTTGGGAAGCTGAGTAGAGGTTCCCAGTGGCAACGTAGACGAGGTTCCTCACGGCGTCGATCGGCGGGCTGCTGCCCCAAATGGCAGCCCCGGCATATTCGCCACGGTTGCCGAAGTTGTCGGGTAACATGAAGGTTTGCTACAAGATTTTACCGGTTTTTGCGTTTAGTTTGACGAAGCTTCCTCGAAAGATGCAGCATTCTTCAATGCTTAGCTCTTCTTCTTGCGAAGATGTGCCCACGTAAAAATTCCTTGGTTTATATCAAATGAACGACACATTAATATACTAGCTACGGTTATTTACAAATGCATATACCTCGACATTGTTGGTTTAGATCCCAAACTTTAAGAATTAATTTGTTATCCAAAAGCTGCATTTTCTATAGATTTTAATGTATTCTTATATTCATGTTGTATTAATACTTTTTCTTTCTTTTACTTCTCAATTATCCTACGTACTTAAAAGAAATACTAAAGATTCAAAAATATCTCTACATTTTTTATATTCATGTTGTATTAATATTTTCTTTTGCATCACACGTACTCCGACAAATCTCAGAGGAACATCCTTGAATGAAGAGGTTGAATACATAACAAAAGAAATCACGATCTCTTGACATGCCTTTTAGCAAGTTTTTATGACCTATCAAAATCAAACTTATTGTCAACCGACTATATTCACCTAGCATACTAATTATGAGTAGTCATTATAGTTTTACGTCTACAACAACATTAAAAATTGATGTAAATCTTCTCAACTAAAATCAAAGAAAAGATGTAACTCATTCTTTTTATCATTCAATGCCCCTCTACTTTTCTATGGGCTATGAGACAAAGGACCTAGATACTAACCAATGCTCAATCTTTTTACCAATTATGATATTTTTGTTCAAATTAAAAAAAATGAACCGTCTATAATCACCATAATTCATTTATTTCTTTCAACAATGCGATTTATAATTTTTCACCTCTTATCTTTGTCGAGTTTAGCATTATCGAATCCAAAAATAAGGATTTTTTCTTGAAATTTGAATGGAAAACGTTATATAAAGAATAAAGGTAAATACATAAATAATCATCTACTATATGATATTGTTTTGTTGAGTCCATCGACTAGTAAAAGTTATAAAATGATCCTCCGATTATAGGAAGTTGATTTGTTGAGTTCATTGACTATTAAAAGTTACAAAATGGTCACTCAATTATTCATTATGTTTCAAACACCCACATCGAAAGCATATTTGAACAAGAGTATAGGCATATGGTCCTCCATGAACTCTCCGCATACATGAAAATCTTGAAAAAAATTGAACATATCCGTGCTGGACAGCACTCACATGTCCAAGTAACACAGTAATGAAGAAAAGTGGTGCGGGGAAAATAGGAATATAGCTGCCACCAACATACATATTCATATCATTTTTGAAAAACCTCCTTCATAATTGTCAATATACCATAGAGGTATACAACAAAAAGAGGAAGGGGAAAGAGTACCTCAAGTTTTATTAGAAAAAGGGTTTAAAACAACCCACCAACATACAACCAGGTCATAAAGAGACAACAGTACAAGAATCAAACCACCTAGACTAGACTATCATTTTACTCCTGACATCAGCCAATTCCTTTT